TAGCTAGTCATTTCCAGTTTTGTAGCTATGCATTTATTTTTCCTTACTAAAACTGAACTTTTCTTCGCTGAATTTCAGGTCAATTCTCCAATTTGTCAAGGTTGAATTCTAATCCTGGTCTCCAGAGATTGTGCAACTCCTCCTAAACTGGTGCCATCCACCGAGTTTCTAAGCATATTCTGCATTTTATCCATTAATAAAAATATTGAATAGTACCAGACCCAGAACTGTGGTAGATGCATCCTCCCAGTCTGACAGCAAACTCTTGATAACTATGCGTTGAGTAAGGTCTTGTAGCCAGCTGTGCATTCCCCCTTACAGTAATTTCATCTATGCCACATTTCCCTCATTTGCTTGAGACTGTCATGTGGAACTGTGTCAAAATCCTCCCCAAAATCAAAATATGTCACATCTCTGGTTTACCCCATATCTCTTGGGTGCCTCTGCAGTGCCATGCTAACAGAAAAGGGTTGGAAAAATAATTAGCAGCTGTGTAAAGGACTATGGGTACTTTAATCATCCAAATTTGAGAACAAAATGACACCACTAAAATAACATGGCTTAATAGCTAACCAAAGCGGAAACATGCAACACACAAGCCACCAAGGTAAACATGCACTGGGAACTACAGTAATAAAAAGTCTTCCATCCCACTATGAAGTATGCACCAATGCAAATAACCAATGGGGTGGAATTCTAAATGAGCAGGCCCTTCAGGAAAAAGGTCTAGTCCTCTCAAGATCTCTTCAGAGAGGGAGTAGTTCCAATGCTGCCTCAGGACCAGGCATGGCTCCTCAGATCGTATATCACATAAGGTGGTATAATGCAGTGACTAAGGATGTCCTGTTAGTGCACTTGCTGACATACAAACAGGTGGACAACTGGGGAAGGAAGAGAGAGGGGGCTGGACTTCACCTGAAAAAACACAAGTGAAATAATGATTATTAGAAAGCAGGCTTTAGAGAAGATACCTCCCTCTCTTATCTGGTTTATAGCACTGTGCTTTCTTGCAGATCAAACTAAATGGTAAAGCAGGTCAAAACATCCCAAAAATGCAGAAATATTAAAGAATGGAGATTTTCATATTGAATTAGTGATGGTTTGTTTCATGATGAAATTATGATACAGGCAATTAGCTGGTATGTAGGATCACTCCCAATACATCCTCCAATAAGGTTTAGGTACCTCCCCATTCCCTCCCTTACCTGTGCTGTCATCTTATGCCTCCTCCTCTCCTCTCTTACACTGTATGCTCTTCAAGCCACAGAATGTGTCATTTTTGGTAAAGCGCCACATAAATTTGTAGTGCTACAGAGATTGATCAATACTCGTAATAGTCGTCTTTCTAGAAGGTGAATGCAACAGTCTAGAATTCCCCAGGACCAAGTCTCCCTCTGCATGCCGTCTTGTGGTTTCTTGTCAAGCAAAGAAAAGTTGACACAGGAAGGTATAAAGCAAAGGTTTGGTAAAAGGTGGTTAGAAAAATCCAACTCAATAGTTTGTAAGTAATTCAGAACAGCACCTAGCAGTGTGTTTATTTATCCCTCTACACACATTATAAATCATACACAGTGATGCAAAATAGCAAATTAGTTTTTCCCATCTTGGGCACTAAGATGGGAAAGATGGTATTAGTTTGTGTATTGGCCTCTTCACTGTAGTATTCTCTCTGGAATATACCTGCTGGGTTTCTAACCAGATAATGAGCTTCATGCAGTCCTATCCCTGGGCCTTCCTGATGACATATTTCAGCCAATATAATGAAATTTGGGTGCCTACGTTTAGTCACCTGCAAGTCACACAAGGCACTGACTTCCAGAGATGTTAAGCACCCTGAACTCTCAGATTACATCAGGAATTGTGGGTATTATTTGCTACCACAGAAACCAAACCCTGCTTCCGACAGTCATATCTGTACATGTTGGTCCTCCTCTTTCAGATCTCTTAACATTCTACCCTGGTGGCAAATCACCATGGCAACCTGAAGTCTTGACTGGCTAAACAGTGTCAAGTAATTAGTAAGGTTCTTCTGTTCTAATCTTTTTCTGAAACATAGGTAAGTCCTCTGGAATCAGTTACAATGGTCTCTATTTTTCTTTGGAAATTTCACTGATTCCTGCAAAGGCTTCACAGCAGTCAGATTGGATCTCCACCAGAGTACGTGAGGTCAGAATCTGTCCTCGTATTTTAAACCTACTCTTAAAGTGTCAATTCATGCTACCTAGCCTCAAGGCTTGGGAAGATTAGATTTTTATCAATACAATGTTGGTGTCGATTTCCCCGTACATACTAACCCATGAAAAAAATATTTCCATCAATGCTAATCTAAATGTTCAGATACACAAAGCAAGGAAAATGCTTCTTGAGAAATTTTTACAATTTGATTTAAGGATATTTACTTTATATATTTTGACATGATGTTGACAAATGGTGTCAGAAAGCTTTGATTTTTTTACATTTCAGTGTCTAAGGTCATTAAATTATTATCTGATCCTTCAGAAATTTCCTGAAACTGTAAAAATTGAAAATTGATAGAAACTGAAAAAATGTGCCTAAAAGTCCATGTCCTGCAACTGTGGAAATTTAAATGGATAAAAATTTAAAAAAAAAAACTAAAAACATTATTCATCAAAACAAAACAAAACAAAAAAACCCAATTCTGCCAAGCCTATCTAGTCTATGCAAAGCTGAATTGTAGCATATAAAGCAGGAGTATCAGTAATTTTTGATGGTCAAGGGCTGCACTCTTTCATGATATTAATGGAGGAGGTGCAGGGTTTGGGATGGAGATTGGGTACAGAAGGGAGCTTGGGGTAAGAGAGGGAGTTTGGGTGAAGGAGGCAGTTGTGACCTGGGACACAGGACTGGAGTGGACTGTGACCTAGGAAAGGGTCTTGAGGTACAGGAGGAAGGTGAAGGGGATTGGGTTGTGAGCTACGGCAGGAGGGGACTGTGGTCTGGGGCAGGGAACTGGAGTGCTGGATCTGGGAGGGGGTATGGGTCCAGGAGAGAGGGGGACAGAGGATTTGGGTATGTGGAGTAGGGTAGCAGAGGGTTATGGAAGGGAGGGATTGGGGTGCCAGAGGCAGCCTCTGGCCAGGAGACTTACCAGCCAGCAGCCAGTTCCTGAATCAGCCTCTCTGTCCGCCCCGCCACCTGCACAGCCTGCAGCCATGTGCTCTGTGAATAACTAGGCACCCCTTGTGTTTTGTGGCTACCTGTTATTGAAACAGGTTTCTCCCCTGTCAGCTAATGGGATTGTGCTGGGGGTGGGAGCAGCTCCTAAAGCTCCCTCCCTCCCTCTCCTACAGGCTCAGTTTGTAAATTGAAACTGCCCTGCTGCTGTGTTTATGAGTGGCATGCGGGTGGAGAGAGGTAAGTGGGAAGCCTGCCTGGGGCTCCCCACAGCATTCATGTGCCGGATCCGGTGGCTTGACGGGTCAGATCCTGCAAGGCGTATTTTGCCTAGGCCTAATATAAAGGCATATAGGTGATCCTGAGAGAACAATGCATCTGTTATGTAATGCAAAGTACATACACATATTTTCAATTTATAAATTACCTTCACTTCTTAAAGAAACCCCAAAAGTTTATGATGTTCAAACTACATGAATATTAAATGTTCAATTCAGAGAAATTAGCACTGCCTTTTCAATCTTCCACTGTCACTTACTGGTTGTACTATATAATAGTTTATTGACCATTCTAAAAGTAAAAGCTATCACATCTCTCTCCATATGGGCCTTTTACCTGAAGCATGATTTTCTATAAAGCAATTTAAAAAAGGAATAAAAATTACCAATCAGTGAAAATAAAAAGATATCAAAAACAAATATAACCAAAGAAATTTATTGTTATCAACAAAAATACAAGATACAAAATTATGTTGGGCCTATCCTCCTAAAGAGCTACTGATAAGGAAGTAGATGCTACAGTTCCAACTGAAAGCATCTCCACTAATTCATAAGGACCTCCATCTGCACCAGTCTTGCATTTGTGTCTCCTGATGTTCTGTAGGGGATCATTCCAGCAAATGTTATCAATGCACGGGCTTGGGATCGAAGTTGCTAAGAAACAAACATAAATAAAGTTCTGGTTACTTTAAGTTAGGTGTCTCAAAACACCACTGGATTCTGAACAGTGGTTCATTGATGGTTTCATTTCTTAAACGCTTCCAAATGAAACAGGCACAGAATCTTGGTTTCACACTGTTTCTCTTTTGACCATGCTTCTCCACATTTACCAAGGAAATCCAATTATCTTCATTTGTGACGGTCAAAGTATCACTGTATCAAAATTCTTCTCTATTTCAAAAGACGACTAAGAAATGAAAAAAAACAGTGCAATGCAACTGCTGACACTTTTCAAGCACAAGCAATAGGAAATACAAAGCGTATTTCTCCTGGAAGTTGGCCGCACTGCACATACATTAAGGTCTTCTTTCTCATTACTTTAAGGCCCTTACACGACACTTGCGGGGTGAGTTACACCACTTTTAAGGTGCCTTTACTCTGCCAGAGCAGTGAATCAATGTAACTGACCTATTTAAAAGTATTCAAGTTAACACCATATCGAGTAATGGAAAACAAGACATGAACAATAAGGATGCTATGTTGCAGCTACAGAATCCCAAACTATTTTCTGGATTAAAAAATTAAATGCATAAAAATGACTCTGATAGCTTGAGGTTTCTAGGTTATAAGGCAAGTTTTATTATATTCTGTGCATAATAAATCAAAGGCTGAAAAATTGTTATGGGCACAGCAATGGGTAAACAAGAGCAGGATGAATCAGAATACAGGGATTTACAAACCCCAGAATTACTTAGCCCTACTGAAAAGTGGGAGGCCACAAGAACTACCCTTCTACCCTCTGGCTGGGCAAAACCATCCCTTTCAGTACAATATTAAACAAGTTATTTGTCTAATGGAAACAGAAGCTGGTTGTATGTAATTTAATACGCGTTTAGCAAATGCATAAATAAAGTATCTCAAATTTAAGAAACTGGAATAATAATCACATACAAAAATTGTAAACAATTTTCATTTAAACACTGAGATTCAATGTTACTATTTCACTTATTCAATGAGGAATCCTGTGCCACCTTAAAGACTGCGAGATTTACTTGGGCATAAGCTTTCGTGGGTAAAAACCATTTAGTCAGAGTGCTGACCAAGTGTTTTTAGCCACAAATGCTTATGCCCAAATACATGTGTTAGTCTGTCAAGTGCCATAGGATTCCTTGCTGTTTTTGCAGATACAAACTAACACAGCTGCCCCTCTGAGACTTTATTCTACTTGTGATATAAATAGCATGTGTGTAAACCCCTTGGAACAGAGGATCATACTGCCTTCTCTCCATTTCCTAAAAGAATGGCACTATGCAAAACCAGATCGCACACCTGCATATATCACTGCATTTTGATCTGGTACTGAAGTCCTGCTGGTCATCCCTCAAAAGTTCAGCAAGGTTGGACAGAATAAGGATTTGTAGGCGAGACCGCCAGGAACACCTAAGCAGTGCTGCTGGTGATTCAATAAGGGGCACTTTTCCAGGCAAGGTAGCAGCAACATATTGAACTGGCAATATGGAGGTTAGTTTGTGTATTTCATCAGTTTGAAGGCCAGAAGGGACCATCAGAGCTTTTAGTCCAAGGGTGGCAATAATTATTGATGGGGGAGGGGGCCGCCAATAATTTTGAAAGTGGTCAAGGGTTGCACTCTTCCATGATATTAATGGAAGAGGTGCAGGGTCTGGAATGGGGGTTGGGTGCAGAAGGGAGCTTGAGGAAAGGGACTGGAGTGCAGGAGGGGGTGTAGGATCTAGAAGAGATTTTGGATAAAGGAGGCAGTTGTGACCTCGGGCAGGGGACTGGGATGCAGGAAGGGGTGCAGGGGTTTGGGATGTGACCAAGGGTAGGAGGGGCTTATGACCTGGGACGGGGGGTTGGGTTGTAACTTTGGGCAGGGGACTGGGATGCACAAGGGGGTGCAGGGGTTTGGGTTGTGACCTGGGGCAGAGGATTGGGGTGCAGGATCTGGGAGGGTATATGGAGGCAGAGGATTTGGGTTATGTGGGGCAGGCAGGAAAAGGGTAGGGGTGCCAGAGGCAGGTTCCAGCTGGGAGACTTACCTGCTCGACTCCCAGCCAGAACCCTTCTCAGGAAGGCTCTCTGTCTATCCCACTGCACTGGCTGCAGGGGCCATGTGTGTGGGGCAATATGTGGGGGGCAGGCCTGAGGCTTCTCGCTGCATCCATGGGCTGGATCCGGCCTTTGGGCCGTATTTTGCCTAAGCCTGATTTAGCCCAACCTCCTGTATAGGAGAGGCTATTACATTTCACCCAGTTAGTCCTGTGCTGAGTCCAATAACCTGGGTTTCATTGAAGGTGTGTCTACATGTGAGCTCAGTCTCAAGCCTAACTCCCATCGCATCTGAACTGTAATCGTGCTGACCCAGGGTTCCAGGACTCTGCAGGACTGAAGGATCTAAGCTTGAGTTAAACCAGGACCCAGGGTACAAGCCCTATTGTCTTGCAGCTGACTATAGGTTGACTCCTCAGCTGACTACAGGTTCCACGCGGCATTTCCCCAGCTGACCCTGGGCCCATGGCTGCCCCTGTGTGGCGCTGCCTTTTTAAAATGCCTGGGACTCCCCAGCTGATCCCGGGCTCCATGGCTTTGAAATGCACAAGAGCCCCCCTGGGGACTCTGGTACGTTTCAAAGGAGGAACTCGCATGCAGCCCAGAGTCAGCAGGACTTCCCGCTGGCCCCGGCTGTATGTGGAGTTCTGTATTCCTCCTTTGAAATGTACAAGAGCCCCAGCGGGTTAAAAGAAGCCTAGAGGGGTAGGTGTTCTGTTGGTTGTATTCACTTAATTAACATTCAGGAAGAAAAGAATTAAACAAAACACAACTTTCCCTTGTGCTTTGAAATAAAACTGCAAATAAAAAGAGCACTGGAGCTTTTTCACTTCCTATTTTCTCTGCTAGAACAATGCCCTTCAGCTATCCCAAAGAGTTAATAACAAATGATTGGGAGGGTGTATTACATAACTGTGACGTTTTAATTAGGCTTTCGCTGCCATTGCCATTAAAACCATGTTTTCCCAGATTGTAATCTGGGGCTTGCTACAATCTGTGTCTGACTGAAACTTGGCAAACAGACCAGGTCAGGCCAGACAGAATTTTGTTTCCTAATCCACAAAGCCAATTAACGCACAAAAGATCTCAAAACACAATTTCAGTAATTACATCATTAAATAAATTCCCCCCAAAATTGGTCTGACTTAAAAACATGGCTATTTAAAAACATATTTTCAAAAGCATCTTGGCTTTTAACTGGAATTAGGAAAACAAGAGATGATGATAATTATTTTAATGGAAACAGAGTTTGAAAAAGCAAAAAAGTGCCTGTGTACTGTCACTGGTATTCTTCTTTGGTTCTGCCATTGCTATATGCTCTCTATGGACCCTACACAATTCCCCTGGTTTCAATGGAATATGGCTCAACGTGGTCAGGTTGAGCACATTGAAGAGGTGATTAAGAGAATTATATTCTTCTAACTCAGGGTCTCAGTCTCCTCGGAGTAGGAATAACCCACATGGGGACTGGAAATGTCAAGTGCTATTTGTGACATTTCCAATTAGTTCTGCTGAGGAGAGGCAGGGTCCTCTACATTGAAGAAGCTCCAGGAGGCAGTTGCAGATCTTTAGAGAGCTGATGAAGGTAATAAACATCTCAATGACTAACCTTTGACTCTACACTGGCACTGAGCTTGCTGAGTCCCATGGACAATGCTGGCAAGAGCCATGCTGGCAGGAGCTTTCCCTAGAATCTCTCCCCAGGGGTGCAGGGATGAGGAGGTTACTCACCTTTAGCAGTAACTGATGTTCTTCCAGATGAGTGTCCCTGTGGGTGCTCCACAGCAGCAGGTGTCAGTGTGTTCCAGCGCTGCAGCGTGGATTCTTCACAGCAGCACATGGGGGCTGTGCCTGGACAGCAGGGGAGGCGCATGGCATCATTCAGGACTACTACGCATACACAGCCACCCTCCACCCGGACACTCGGCCTGGTAACAAAAGCAGTCTGAAGTAGAGGGGAAGAAGGGAGGGTAGTGGAGTACCCACACAGACGCTCATTCTGAAGAATGTCAGTTACTGCTAAAGGTGAGTAACCAACTCTTCGAGAGAGACAGAGACATCTCTGTGGGTGCTCCACAACAGGTGATTGCAAAGCAATTGTCCCATGAAGGCAGGGACTTTGGATCCGGTAAGTAGGCCATTAACAGGACAGCCTTTGCCACTCTGGTAGAGGAGAGAGGTCCCTGTGAAAATGCATAGCGCCTGGAAAGGTATGGTCTGAGGTCCATGTAGCAGCATCACATATGTCTTCAATAGGTACCTTGCGCAGGTAAGCAACCAGCATGGCTACCGCCCTGGTGGAGTGCGCACAAATTGAGGTAGGTGGTGGCAATTGGTTTTGGTTTGAACACATTTTGATGCAGTCTGAAATCCGGTGTGACAGTCTTTGGGAATGGTATCTGCTGTCCCTTGTTGCATTCTGCGATAGAAATGAAGAATATAGGGAACACTCTGAAAGGTCTTGTTCTATGGAGTAGAAGGAAAGTGCCCTACGTACATCAAGGATATGCATTTGTGCTTCGAAAGTATTAGAATGGGGCTTGGGAAGAACACAGATAGTGGACAGTCTGGTTGACGTGGGAAGATGATTGGACCTTGGGGAGGAACTTGGGATGAGTGTGCAGTCACACCTTATCTTTGAAGAAGATGGAGTATGGGGGTCTGCCATTAGGGCAGCCATCTCCCCTACCCAACAGACCAATGTTATCACCACTAGGAATGCCATTTTCAAGGATAGGTGAAGAAGCGAGCATGTGGCCATTGGTTCAAATGGGGGTTTTGTGAGGGTGTTTAGTGCCAAATGTAAGTCCCATGGTGTATGGGGAATGGTTACATCTGGGTATAATGTTTGTAGGCCTTTCAGGAATCACTTTGTCTTGGGATATGCGAAGACCATGGTAGTATCAATCTTTGCATGGAATGTT